TTTTGGTTTTTCGAGACAGGGTTTCTCTGTGGCTTTGGAGCCTGTCCTGGAACTAGCTCTGTAGACCAGGCTGGTCTCGAACTCACAGAGATCCGTCTGCCTCTGCCTCCCTAGTGCTGGGATTAAAGGCGTGCACCACCATCGCCCGGCCCACTTTCTCTTCTTTAAGATTTAATGTGGCTGGCTTTATTTTGAGGTCCTGGATGCATTTGGACTTGAGTTTTGTGCATGGTGATAGATATGGGTCTATTTTAATTCTTCTATATGTTGATATCCAGTTATGCCAGCACAACTTGTTAAATATGCTTTCTTTTTTCCATTTGGTATTTTTTGTTTCTTTATCAAAGATCAGGTGCTCGAAGATATATGGATTGATATCCGGGTCTTCTATTCAGTTCCATTGGTCCTCCTGTTTGTTCTTATGCCAATACCAGGCTGTTTTCAGTACTATAGCTCTGTAGTAGAGTTTGAAGTAGGGATTGTGATGCCTCCAGAAGTTTTTTTATTGCTCAGGATTGTTTTGGCTATCCTGGGTTTTTTGCATTTCCAAATGAAGTTGAGTACCATTCTTTTGAGGTCTTTGAAGAATTTTGCTGGGATTTTTGATGGGCAAATGTTACCACTTTCAAAGTTAGCTATTTTGATATCAGATTGAAAACTTACATGAGAACTCATCTTTTTATTTTTTTATTTTCGAGACAGGGTTTCTCTGTAGCTTTGGAGCCTGTCCTGGAACTAGCTCTTGTAGACCAGGTTGACCTCGAACACACAGAGATCTGCCTGCCTATGCCTCCCGAGTGCTGGGATTAAAGGCATGCACTACCACTGCCCGTCTAAGAACTCATTCTTATAGGTAGTTTTGGGCAATTTGTTATTGAATCAATATCTGTTGAGTTAGGATCCCTCCCCACATCAGCTGTCAGGGATCTGTTGTCCTCTTCTGGCCACATGAGCATACATTCAACAGATATGTAGACACATAGAATAAATAAAAATGTGAGGTAAAGATAAAGCTAGTATGTGTTCATTAAATTCAAAAGTTCATTAAATTTGATTAGGAGCTCTTCTTTGTGTTCCATCTGGGGCTCATCTTTCCAGCAGAAATGTGCAGGCTTCTCTTATTTTCTCTTGTTCTCCCCCACAGCATCATGTTCTTCTCATCTCACCCCCGTGAGAATTTGGATCCTTATTATTTGTTTTCCTCCCTACTGGATTAGCACAGTCAGAGGTGTAGTATCTGCACTATCTTGTGCCTTCAAGATGAAAGATGAAATCATTCCTGGTCAGGTTTCCATCCCTTATTTCTTCCTTTCCCCCTCACAACACAACTTTTAAAAGAAGAGAGAAGTGGGGGGTGGAGGGGCCAAATGTGGTGTTTACACCTTAAATCCTTGCATTGGAGAGACAGAGGTACATCTCTGTGAGTTCAAGTCCAGCCTGGTCTGTATAGTAAAACCTAGTCTCATTTAAACCATGTACATAGCTTCTGTTATTGCCGTTTTCTGCAGCTGTGTGTCAAGATCACCAAAGCTTGCATGCTGCCAAGTTTGGCTTGCCCTTGTTTCTTAGCTTTGCAGTGATTGCGAGAGAAGTCTCTTTACTTGAAATCATTGATCTCTTAATTTTCATGCCATCATACTCACCCTGAGTTTTCTTCCTACTTCCTTGCTGTTCCGTGTTAGTCTCCTGTGTTGGCAGCTTCTATTTTGGTAAATGCCAGTTGCCCTAGACACATGTGAAATCCTCCCATGGTTATATAATTGTTTTCTGGTAACTTGAATTCATAAATCAAAGCTTAAGCACAGATGCAGATGTATACACTCACAGCTTCTACTTGATTTTAGGAAGCATCTCAGACAAACTTTTATACAAAGCACAACTCTTGCTGGGTGGTGCATGCCTTTAATCCCAGCACTCAGGAGGCGGAGGCAGGCAGATCTCTGGGAGTTTGAGGCTAGCCTGGTCTAGTTCCAGGACACAGAAACCCTGTCTTGAAAAACAAAACAAAACAAAGCATAACTCTTCCAATTCTCAAGTATATTGTATACCTCTGCCTTCTTCTGTAATCCCCTTTCTATTATTTATTTATTTATTTATTTATTTATTTATTCATTCATTCATTCATTGTTGTTGTTGTTGTTGTTTGGGTCACAGTCTCTCACTACAGCCCAGGCTAGCCCAGAACTCAGTCTGAAACCTGGCTAGCCTCACATTGATTTTCCCTCTGCCTTAGCACCAGAGTGTTGAGATTCACGCACTGCTGTGCCCAGATCTTTGTCCAGTTAATTGCTGCTCATCTCAGTAAAGCAGCCTGCTCACTTACTCTGGCCAAACCTGCTCCATCAATGCCTTCTCCCCCATCCACATTCAGTCCTTGCACGTGTTCTCATCTGCTAAATGTTAAAAATGATAGAACCCTTGACAGAAACTCTGTGGCAAGTTGCTTAATACTGAATATACCCTAGACCTCTTGAGTTATACATGTTTTTATTAATGGGGCCATCCCACAAGCTTTAGTGCCCCAGTCCTACCTAGTCTCACATCTTTGTTTGCTATGATGACATCCTAACTTTTTCCACTCTAGGACCCTTTTAAGCCATGCTTTGTGTTGGCCAGACTGATGTTTGTACTGCTTTGCTTAGTAGTTAAGTGAGTTTCAGTGACCCTTAACCTTCCCATCAGTCACAGCTCTCCAGCTGCTGTGCTAGCTGTCATTGTATGCACACCTCCACGCTCTCAGTTGCTGTGTTTCACTACATTGACCTGTTCTCTTAAACACACCATGACTGTTCCTGTTTTACAACTTTTGCATTTGCTCTTTACACTGCTTTTTCTTCCTCCTGCTCAGTAACTGCTGAGTCCTTACATTTCAGTCAGAGTCCCTGTGTAGTAGAGCTCTAGATTCACTCATCCCTCGCCTTCATAGCGCTTTTCACTGTAGAAATTAGACGTGTGTGTTGGGTAATATTATTTTCAGGTATGTGATTTTGTTTACACTGCATTTGTTTAACTGTGCCTGTCTAAAACAGTGGATGGTCTAATAGAGAGCTGAGCAGCCAATAGTGAGGCAGGAGCAAGGGTAGGGGGCCGGCAGCAGAGAAAGTAAATAGAGGCAGAAACCAGGAAGAAGAGGAAGGAGAGAACAAGAAGAGGAAAACGTCAGAGGCCAGCCACCCAGCTACACAGCCAGCCATGGATTAAGAGTGAAAGTGAGGTATACAGAAATAGAGAAAGATAAAAGCCCAGAGGGAAAAGGTAGATGGGTTAATTTAAGAAAAGCTGGCAAAAAAACAAGCCAAGATAAAGCTCAGAATTCATAATTATTTGTGATTTATTTGGAAGCTGGGTGATAGGCCCTGCAAAAAGCCAAAAGAGTAAAACCTCACACAACACACGTGTCTCTTTTCACTGGGAGGAGGGGCATGTGTGGGCATGTGAAGGTCAGAGGACAGCTTCCAGGTGTGACTCTTTCCTTCCATCATGATTCCACGGACCAGCTGAGATTATGAGGCCTGCATGACAAGAGCTCTTATCTGTGGGCTAACTTGTAGACCCTTTTTACAATTTCTTTCTATACACTAGAATGTGAGCTACAAGAGGGCAGCGTGTGATGTTTCAGCTAGGGAATCCTAGCCCCTTGAAACTGCATGGCAGTGCTGCAAACTGTCAGCAAGTATATATTATAGTTGCAGGCATATGTGTTTATTCAGCAATACATTCATAATGCAGAATGCACATACATGCTTCATAGCAGTAAACAGTTATAATGGTGTTTTCTTTTGATTTAATATATTAACAGAACCGGAAAGGATGTATCTCAGAAGTGGTCTCCAGTAGTGACAACACCATCGGAGACTTATCTGTGAAGACCTTACGGTTAGTACCAAGTTCATTATTGTTTCTAGGAAATTGACATCATTTGTCTTTACAGTCTGAGGCTTTTTCTATTGGAAGTATACTTAAGAGAATTTGATATTAAAATACTGTTCTATGTGGAAAGTTAGAGCTTCTTTTTTACTGTTTATTTATTCATTCATTTATTTATTTATTTATTATGTATACAATATTCTGTCTACATGTATGCCTGCAGGCCAGAAGAGGGCACCAGACCTCATTCCAGATGGTTGTGAGCCACCATGTGGTTGCTGGGAATTGAACTCAGGACCTTTGGAAGAGCAGGCAATGCTCTTAACCGCTGAGCCATCTCTCTAACCCCTTTTTGTACTGTTTAGTTGGCTAAGTTAGAAACTCAACAAAGCTTTAAACTATTTTCTTTCAGTTGTTTTATTTGTTTGTTTTTTGTTTTATTATTTTGTATGTCATGTTTTCATTCTTGTAAGCAGTCATTATTAAAACTAATATTTTTTTCAGGCCTAAAAACTGTCCTATTTATTGTGACGTGGGGTGGGTGGAGTGAATTATCACTTTTTAATACCTCTGTCTGGTTGTTCAGTTCTGACTCAGATGCCCTCTTTCTCTTCTCTTCAATTATGTATGTTTTGTGTTCTTTTGTGAGCTAGTGAGATTTAATTATGTATACCAAAATACACAGCTCTTTCTTATTAAAATTGTTTTCATGCGATATATTTTAATCATTTACCTCTCATCCAGCTCCTAGATCCTCCCTTCCCAAATGACTTTATGTCCATTCTCTCAAGAGGGGACAAAAAGCAAAACAAAAATGAAAAGCAGAATAGTCAAAAGAAAGACAAAAAAGAAAAAGAAAAAAATGCTCAATAAAACATCCACAGAAATACCACTGAGTCTGTTTTGTACTGGCCTGTTCTGGAGTGTAGTTGACAGACCCAGTGAGACTTCATTGGAGAAAACTGATTTTCTCTTTGCCAGCATGAACTCTCCAGCTCTTAATTATACCATTTTGTGAGTTCAACTAACATATAGCTATAGATCCAAAACTTGGGAGGCTGATGCAGGAGAATAGTTATTCAAGATGGCCTGGGCTACATGGCTAAACCTTGGCTCATAACAAACAAAAAAACTAGAAAAGCTACCGAATGTGGCCTCAGTCTGGGCGGTGCTAGCACATTGGGGCTGCCCATGTGCTGAGGATGTGCCCGTGTTCTTGGCCTGCACCACGATGCCGGGAGGACAAACAGTGATTCCAGATGGTGGCTCTTAGCCCCAAGGGTGGACTGCCTGCCATAGATGGGGCTTTGTCATCCTCACTATAAAGTTCTAGCTGCACACATCACTATCAAACTTCCTGAGTTTTAAAACTGTTGGATTTTAAGACACAACAAATGAAGTTAGCGGAGGTGAGGTAACCAGATTGTTATTAGACTTCAAAAAAATTAGTAGTTCCCGCTGCTCTATTATAAAACCTATATTTTAATATTATAAAGTGGGAAATTTTTACAAATTTAAATTACAGATTGTCAATACAAGTTTTGAGTTAATAAAGCAAACTAGAATTCAGGTTTCAAAGAAAACAAAGGGGGCTACAGTTTCAGAAGAATCTAGAGTTGATACCATTTAAGCATGCACCATCACCAAACGATAGCTCCCACAGTGATAAGATAAGTGAAGAGCTGAGTAACCAAACTTCATTCTTAAAAACTTTGAGGCAGTTTGGATTGACTGCGCCTTTTGTGACCTGAAGTTAGATTAAATACCAGGTGTCATGTGAGCAGCATTTGGTTTTCTGTGATAGGGAACAAGGATTTGTAGATTTGGACTGGAATTGTGAAATGATATCACAAGCTTATAGCCTGGGAAAATGTTGAATTTGGAGTTTTCTTTTTATATAATTGCTAAGATTTCTGTTTCTTATTCTTTAAGGCAAACTGCTCTTGAAGAAAATGACTGGCCTTTCCAAACCAAAGGTAAGTTGGTTTGAAAATCTAAAAATACTGATCTATGTGAATAAGTAACCTAATTACTTTTTTTTCCATTTTCTTCCTTATTTTTAACTTTTAAGTCTGTTTATCTGTTATTCTGCTCAAAGAACCTTGATCTTACATAGACTGATAGGGGATTAAAAGAATCCCTTCAAAGCCTGAGTGGTAGCTTATACCTATAATCTCAGCACTCGGGAGGGTGAGTATCCTACTTAGGGTCACTATTACTGTGATGAAATACCAAAAGCAGCTTGGAGAGGTAACCAGATTGTTATTAGACTTCAAAAAAATTAAAGCATAACATTGTTTTCCTCATTTGTTTCTTAAATATTCAGAACCAAGTTCTACTGTTCCTCCAGACACACTGGGGAGTGATTTTGATTCAGGTAAAGTCGAGCCTTCTGATGACATCTTACCTAAGACTGTGTCTTTCCGTCGCCACTTAAAGAAAGATTTTAGTAATGTAAGTTGCTCCACTGCTTTGGAGGACTGTGAAGCCAGTCACTGGGTGGGACAGTCTTTGGAAGTTAGAAGAAGTGGGTGTAAAGACCCAACTATAACTCTGCACGAACTTGAAAATGTAGAACAAAATGTTTGCCTGTGGAACAAGGACCAAATTAACTTATCCCCTAGACTGACTTACCCAGGAAAGAATGCTAAAACAAAAGTCATTTTACCATCCAAACCTGAACAAACAGAACATAAGCACCAACGTGCACAGAAAAGAGCAAAGCGGAGAACAGCCAACCAGAAATGCAAATCAAAATCCTCACTGAGGTGTAAGGGCAAGAAAATCAAAGATAAGCACGCTTTACAACCCACAAAATTGGATAGGTCTATTGGTTCTGGCGATGCTTATGATTTTAATGTGGAAGAGCGTGTTCATCTTACTCCTTTCCGACAAAAAATGAGCAGTGGTTCCAGTGAAGAAATTAACAGAGGTGACCAGGAAGGGAATGCTTCCGATCTGAGTGCCTCTGAGGATGAGGCCAGTGACATCTACCTGCCTCCTTGCAAGCACTTGATAGACCACACCAGAGAATCAGACAGACCAGTCACCAGGCCTCGGCCTAAAAGGGAACTCAAGTACACGGGTGAAAAAGATAAGGAGAAGACTCTGCCAACCAGAACTCCTACTGGTAAGCAGTGGGCTTATTTGCCTGAGTTTTGAATGTTTCTGCTAAAAGGTTGCCCAATGCTGATGATTCTTAGATACTATACTGCCATCTGTTTCTCTGGGGAGTCTAGAGACTTTCCATATGTGTTCTCCGTAAGGGAAGTTATAGCCTGATTAAACAGTAGGGGTAGAAAATGGAAACATAGCTCTGTTATTCTGGCTTACTTGAAGCAAATAGGAATCTTACAGGAGTATTACTTCTCGGGGTCTGATTCCTATTGGAGAGGAGGCTTTTGAGCAGGGTAAAGAGAGGACAGGTTGTGGTTGGATTGATTAAAAGATCTTTACACTTGTGATCCCCTGGAAAATGAAAAAGAAAAAACTCATTTTAATGGACTTATATATTTAATTTAACAGGAAACTTGACTTATTTTCTAGTTGAAGGTGAGCTTATGAGAGAAAGAAGTTCTTTTCTCATCTGCTGAAAACTTTAGCTCAGAAACCCATGCATTTATTTTATCAAAGTGGTTCAGTGTTAGTCATCAGCCTACACCTACTCACAAAGACTTCGTTGAGAGTTTTGATTCTTGTGGCAATAGCTCCATGCTGTCAGGTCCTATCATCTTCAGAATGTTGTCACATTGTAACAGCTCAGTTGGCATGTTTGATTTGCTTTACTGGGATATTAAAGTCTGAAACAATGAATTAACTTTCCTAGTTAAGCAGCTGAACAGTATAGCTTGTAAAAAAGTGTTTTAAAACTATGTATCATGAGAACCCGCTCTCTTTGCTCTACTTTAAATAAAAATGCTTTAATGATAGAATAAGTTGAGCAGGATTGGCAAACTTGATAATTATTGAAGTCGAGTAACATGGGGCATAGTTGAACTGTTTGTTACCTCTTCTGTGTTCTTTTGACAACAATAAGGTTTCACAAAGAACAAAAACACTTAAATAGTTTGATCCCAGAATATCAGCATCATTACCTGGAAACAGCCATAATCCCAGGTTCTATCCTGTCCCTTGAATTAGAATTTGAGTGTCTTTACAAGTTCCCCTGGGGGTTTATAAACACACATGGTGTGGGAAGCATTATTCTAGACTAGAACAGCTGGTCTAACCCTGTTGCTTGGAGGTAGTCTACATTCATACTGGATTGGTTGTATGTTTGTGGTGGTAGGAAAGTATCTGACACCCAGACACTCTGTAGTTCAAAACCTCTGTTGGAGAAGATTGTCTTTCCGTATTCTCACTATGTGTGTGGTACCTGCCTCCCAAATAGATGTAGCTTTGAGATGATAGAGGACCTGGGTGTTAATGACGGGAAAGACATCTGAATTTTTGTAACATTAGCACCGGGGGGGAACACGTTTTATCCTGGTCTTCATGGTCTGATGGAGAGTTCTTGTATGTTTAATGGAATGACTTTGTGGTCAGTGGGCTCCAACAGTGTCACAAACTTTGGTGTTGACCGGGACCGGAACTTTGGTGATTCTAAGGAACTAAAATACAGTTTCATACTTTAAACCAACTCATAACATCTAAGCTATTGGGGAAGAAGATTACATTTTAGTAAATAGTTCTGTTGTAGCTAATAGTTCTTTACATCTACCATAGTTTCTACATTTTCTGGCTTGAAAAAAAGAAAAAAAAAAGAGGAAGTTTTGTAGATGGAAGTTTTTGTCCCACCCAGTCCCACAGCCATTCAGCCCCAACCAAACACACAGAGGATTGTAATTGTAAACTGGTTGTCTTACTATTATTATTATTATTATTATACAATACAGGCTTATTATTAACTAAATCTTTCAACTTAAATTAACCCGTAATTCTTATCTATGTTTAGCCACGTGACACGGTACCTTACTCAATGAGGCATTCTTATCCTGCTTCCTTTGCCCCTGGATGGTGACTGTAGACTGAGCCTTTCCTCTTCCCAGAATTTTCCTAGTCTGGTCGCCCCTCATATACTTCCTGCCTGGTTGCCAGTCAGCCTTTTATTAAATCAATAAAAGTGACAAATCTTTAAAGGATACAAGACCAGTATCCCACAGCAAAGTTATTAAAGCATAGATCATGAAGTGCCAGGTATTTTGTGTGTTTAAAAATATGTAATTGGCCATAGTTTTATTTCTGTGGTTTGTATCCCTTGGATTCATATTCAGTAAACACTATATTGTAGGTATGCCATGCAAGAATCAAGACTTATCTGGTTGTAGCCTAAAGGATGTCACCAATATCCTGCTGTCTCCTGTAGTGAAAATCAGGAAACTTTCTCTGTCTCCAAAAAGGCGTGAAGATAGCCCAGCCATGCCTCTGCCTAAGCGCAAGTGCTCCACCATCACAAGCTATAAGGAGCCAACACTCGCTTCGTAAGTACTGTGTGGACTCATCTGTAACGACTCTTATGGGAGGGCTGAAGAAGGGCTTTAGTCATGAATGAGTTGTTTTTGAGGACTAGGACTGGCCTATTGTTATACTAATCCTGTGCTGAATATAATACTGTTATATGTGTAATCATACCTGAAATCTTTTTTATTTATAGGAAACTAAGAAGAGGGGACCCTTTCACAGACTTGTGTTTCTTGGATTCTCCTATTTTCAAGCAAAAAAAGGATATGAGACGTCCTAAAAGAAGTACAAAGCACACACAGTAACTCCTTTGGTTGGATGCTATCAAAGAGGATCCTTCTCTGTTACCTGATAAAGTCTGAGCAGTGGGCAGAACCATCCCTTATCAAGCTCTGGGTCAGGACCTATACTTTGTAGTTGTGCGGATTGCTACCAATCTAAAATTTCTCCAGCAGGGGAATTTCAGAGTTTAAGTTTTATAAAGATAGGATATGGATCGCTTGTGAATCCTTGACCTCATAAGACATACCATAAGTTGCTGAGAATCCCTTATTCTACTACTGAGTCTTTGGGTAAACTATATGTGGAATCACAATTAAGAGAATTGGTAGTTTTGGTTCTGGGACAAGGTTGTGAACTCTGTGTGTGACATCATTCTTCATCAGAATCAACGTATCATGGACCTCAGGCTAGCCCTTCATGTTGTCAGAAGTCTGCAAGTATAAATATGTGACTAGTAAGTTTCTGGGTTTGATAAATGTATTTAATGAAATAACTGAACTTCTGCAGGTGTGTATATATTTCTTTAAACTGAAATCACTATAAGTGGTCCATTTTTAAAGAACACTGAAGTGTGGCCATTGTAAGGTCTGGCTGTACATAATGGTGGCCATTGTGTTTACCTTCTGCTCTTAACTGTCAAGTAACCTTGATTATCTTCCTTTCTGGCCTTAACCACTCCCAGCTTGTTTCCTCATCTGTTTTCCCTGTCAACTCTCCTTTTCTCTTCACATTAGATTGTCTTAATCAAGTTACCTGCAGCCTTCAGGCCCCAAACCAAGACATTTCAGTTTGTGGCTCAGTAGTGAACACTTGTGTCATTCGGGCAAGGCCTAGGAGTAAATCCCACTGCAAACAACAGAAGGGCCTAGTGTTCATCTCAGACTGTCCACCGTGACTTCTTGCAGTACGTTCAGTCATGCTGAGAGCTCTTCTCTGTTGCTCGTGTGCATCCCACTCTCCCATTAAAGTCTTATTTCCAGCCACGCTTCTATTTCAGCGCCGAAGACGGAACCCAAGGTCCTGTGTGTGACAGGAGCACAGCCACAGCAGTCTAGAGCCTCGCTGTTTATCTTTTGTAATATCACAGTACCTCCGGGGCGACCATTTTACCTAAGAATAAATACAAGTCCACTTTCATCTCAGTGGGCCTCATGTGGCTACGATTACCACAGTGCTGCCTACTCAGAGGTAGACTGTATCCTGGTCCACACCAAGCAAGCTGGCTTGTGGGCCATGCTTCATACAAGCTAAGTTTAGTTTTTATGTATTTAAAAAGTCAAAAACATGAGATTCCATCTTACACCTTAAGAATGGCTAAGATCAGAAACACTGATGACAACTTATGCTGAAGAGGTTGTGGGGAAAGGGGGACACGTCTGCATTGCTGGGGGGAATGCAAGCTGGTACAACCCCTTTGGATTCCAGTGTGGCGATTTCTCAGAAAATTAGGAAACAACCTTCCTCAAGACCCAGTAATACCACTTTTGGGTATATATTCCAAAGGATGCTCAATCGTGCCACAAGGACATGTGCTCAACTATGTTCATAGCAGTATTGTTTGTCATAGCCAGAACCTGGAAACAACCTAAATGCCCCTCAACCGAAGAATGGATAAGGAAAATGTGGTACATTTACACAGTGGAGTACTACACAGCAGAAAAAATAATGACATCTTGAATTTTGCATGAAAATGGATGGAGGTAGAAAACATTATTTTGAGTGAGGTAACCCGGACACAGAAAGACGATCATCACAGGAACTCTCACTCATAGGTGGTTTTTAAACATAAAGCAAAGAAAATCAGCCTACAAAACACAACCCCAGAGAACAATGAGGACCCTGAGAGTCTTACATAGCTCTAATCTACATGGGAAGTAGAAAGTAGAAAAAGACATGGTCTCCTGAGTAAATTGGGAGCATAGGGACCTTGGGGGAGGGTTGAAGGCAGAGAAAAATGTAGAGCTCAATAAAAATCAAAAAAAAAAAAAAGAATAGAACAAAAAAAAGGTCAAAAACAAAACATTAACATTTGAATTAAATTTGCTACTTAGCCTGTGGAACCCCAGCTATTTTATATCCTGGTTCATTTTCAAAATTTTTTTTATGGCCTGTTATGATGGTCCATACCTATAATCTCAGCACTGTAGAGGCTGAGGCAGGAGGATCCTGTCTTACACAAACTGTGCTACATTGTTGGGACCATTTGGAGCCCTGGCCTCTGGCTGCTCTCCCCTGCTAGTGACCTTTCTTGACCTTCTGAAAGCTGTGTCCAGCTCTGCTTCCTGAGCAGGTGTTGCCTTGTCCTTGATTGCGGGTCAGGGGATGAGGTTTTCACCTCTTGGCCTATCTGATTGTGTTGGGTATTAAAGCCTCCGTGGTGTTATTCAATAAAGGGCTTCTTTTACCATGGACTAAAGGGGTGTGTGTGTGTGTGTGTGTGTGTGTGTGTGTGTGTGTGTTTAATCCTGACGTCCTTCGCTTGGGTTTTGGTTTCAGGCCATGCAGGTGCGTCACTACATAATCTCAAAAAGGCAAAAACCATTTTTCTACTTTCTTCTGTAGACACCTAAATGTTTATTGCAAAGATCTTTGTGCTGTGTCAGCCTTGACCCTTCCTGTATACGGTCACTGTTATCTTTCCAATTTTAGTACAAGCACCAGTCACTGTTACCTTAAAACTGCTATTAGACTTTTTTAGTCTTTGTCATGTTTTTGTATTCCATGCAGTATGTGTTTATAGGCTGTTAAGGGTTTTGTGTGCACATTTCTGTCTGATAGGCACTGTATATATATTGTATATACTGATTTATAATTGACTTAAGTGTTTGAGACTTACCATGTTGGTAGATATAGATTATTTCTGTTATACAATATCTTAGAAATAAACCAGACTTAGCGCCTCTTTGAGAAATAGTTATCACTTGTTATGTTAAATATTATAACTGCAATTAATATTCTTTACCTCTCCAGGGCCTTCTGTAAAGGCCAGGCTTCTCAGCAGAGTGTTTCATGATGTTCAGCCAGGTTTTCTGACACATCTGCTTATACCCTAGCCTCACATTAATCTCTTACTTCTGAATGCCCTTCTCCAATAATGTCCTAAAAGCTGACATTCAACTGTCGTACTTCATTACCTTTGTAAAAGGTGTTAAGAGGATCAAGTCTAGCTGGGTGTGCTGGTGCTCAAGGAAACAGAGGCAAAGGGATCTCTGAGTTTGAGGCCAGCCTGGTCTGCAGAGCAAGTTCCAGGACAGTCAGTGCTACACAGACAAACTTTGTCTTTGAAACCCATCCCCCAAAAAGAGAGAGATTGTGAAAGAGAAATAAAAAAGTAGCAAAAGTAGCAAGGGGGCATGTGTTTATTATTAATAGATGGAAGGAACTAAAATATATATTCCAGCTTTATGTTTCTAGACAAGATGGAGAGCTGCAGCTTGAAGGAGGATTCATTCGGTGTGCCACAACCACATGACAGCATTCACTGGCTCTTGGCATTAAATCCTGTTCAGTAGTGGTCAATTAATGAATAAAAAGTATCTGCCAGAGATGTAGAATGGTAGATTATGTGTGGGAACCTGGGCTTCAAAATCCAACACCACAGCAAAAGAGTAAAACTAACATGGAGATGAACTGTGTAATTTATAAAAATAATAAATAAAGCCTAGACCTGGAGATGAAAGGACTCAGGCCAGTGAGATGATTTTGTAACAGCACTTGCCACGACTGATTAGCTTACATTTGATCCACAGAACCCATATGGTAGGAGGAGAAGACCAACTCTACAAAGATGTCTTCTGCCACATATAAAATAAATACTGGTTTGTTTTTTTAAATTTCACAAGGAGCCACAGGCTTGGTGGTTCAGTTCATGTCTTAATCCCAGTATGCAGAAGCATGAGCCAGAGAGTACAAATTTCATGGTCTCATCAAATGGCAGGACTCATCTTTGGACTAGAAAGGACCAATGAGGGACTTTTCATCTGCCTCCTTCACAGCAGTGGTACTGGGCTGGATCCAGCTGTCAAAGTTATCACAGCAATGAGATGGCATAACAGGGGGTGCTTGCTACCAAAACTGATGACATGAGTTTGAGCCTCTAGAACAGTGGTTCTCAACCTTCCTAATGTGGTGACCCCCCCAAACAAAAACTATTTCTATTGCTACTCTATATAACTGTAATTTTCCTATGGTTATGAATCATAATGTAAATATCTGTGCTTTCCGGTGGTCCTTGGGGGTTGAGAACCACTGCAAAAAGCAGCTTCCATTTAATGCCTGTAGAAGAACATCAAGAATATGAATACAAGCCGGGCAGTGGTGGCGCACGCCTTTAATCCCAGCACTCGGGAGGCAGAGGCAGACGGATCTCTGTGAGTTCGAGACCAGCCTGGTCTACAAGAGCTAGTCCCAGGACAGGCTCCAAAACCACAGAGAAACCCTGTCTCGAAAAACCAAAAAA